GGGGGGGGGGGCGCTCGCGATCCGCGGCCACGCCGGGCACTCGCACGACATGTGCTTCGTGGCCCCCCGGGCGCGCGCTGGGCAGTGCGGAGGTCGTTTGTTCGCCGGCCCCGGCCCTGGCTGTGGTCCCTATCTTCTAGGCGCCATTGGGTTCATCGGCATCCTGGGCGGGACTATCAGTGTTGTAAAACTGGCTATGATCTAAATACACTGAACACGCTTTTCATTTTCCAGGTACCTTGCCTAACGTTCTTAATGTTATGGTAAAAAGCCCTTCCAAAAAGAGGAGACTGCTTGGATAAACGTTAAGTCAGGAGTGTCAATGTCCTGTGTCCTGGGCGGGATCACCATCTCTACGCCGCCTCCAGGTCCACCTGTAGGTCCAAACCCCGGGGCCCGCTCCAGATCCACGTCCTGGCCTACCTCCCAGTCTAGGTCAAGGACCAACTCTATGGGTGCCACTCCACATCCACCCTCAAGTCCACCGGGCACCTAGCACAAACCCCTGTCTCGGCCTCATTTGGGCGGTCAAGACCGTCAGCTCTGGGTGAGCAGGGTGCGTCCGCGTCGACTCTTCGATGAAGAAACATAGGTTTGCAAGTGCACATGTAAACAGCTAACCGGCAGAGCCACAGCACTGCACTTTATAGCAGTTAGCAAGTGTATGCGCGCCTGCCAGGTTGATCGCCTCCTGACCCGCCGAACACCCCTGCTGTTCTGGTGGCCTATCGTCCGCTGGGAGAGGTGGGGGGGGGTGTTGCTAGCCGAGAGTGTGAGATGAGTTGCCTCCCTTACCCTGCAGATTCTACGGGCTTCGACGATCTGTTCGGTTTTAGCGTGATGTAAGACCGTTGAGAAGGTATCTTGTTGCATATTTTCGATGTGTTTCAGATTAGTTTTAATGTATTGGAAGTTGTTTTTAATCGATTTGAATTCAAAAAATTTAGGTATTTGGTTGTAATGATGGCCGACCGTCGAAACTCGTCAGATCACTTGCTGATCTGGAGTAAGTAAGGTTAGGTTCTCTACACAATATTTTATTTGTAGCCTGGGTGTTACATATGATGGCGTTTTTATCAATATTTTTCTTTTACAAACAGGAAACCATGCCCTGCCTCTTTAATTCGTTGCATATTTATAATGATAATAATTATTATGCAGGTAATTGAATGTGAAAATTTCTTTTGTTGCAACTATTAAACATTGTTTCTTTTTTGTCTAATTTGTTGTCTCTTTTTGTTTAGTTATACAAGTATGGAGCCCAGATCACATTTGCTTTGCAGTTATTGCAATCCATACAAGTATCTTTCAAATACTGAAGAGTTCAAACAGCACCTTAAAAGATATCACTGGGAGTTAAAGACTTTCAGGTGTGGCCATTGCCGAACAATCTTTCAACATAAGACGTCTCTTATACGGCACATAAGTGATGTCGCTAATCAGCTGCCGAATAGTGAAGTTGAAGATGTTTCGAGCAGTGAAAATGATGAAGAAGGAGCAGAAGGTTATGTGAGTTGTATTGAAGATCACATTATGGAAGATGAGAGAATTGAAGAAAGAGAAGAAGTGAGGGAGGAGTTAAACCAAAATAATGTAACATTTGATATCAAAGCAGAGGCTGCAAAATTTCTGATGAAATTACGATCTTCGGGAAACCTCACTCAGGCATCTGTAAAATTTATTGAAGACAATGTTGTGGTTCTACTTCAAAATCTTATGTTAAATGCAGAAGCCAAAACTAGAGAATTTTTGAATTCATGTGATTTACCTCCAGAAAATGTTGATGCTTTTCTTGCTGGGGATGCTTTTAAAATTGGCAACCCATTTGAAGACTTGGAATCAGTTGAAGAACAGCTAGCATACTTCTGTGAGAAATTTGGGTGTGTGATACCGGAGGAAAAATATTTAGGATTTCGTATTGAGAACAGATTTGATCGGAAACTGAGGATGTTTCTTCCCAAGCAAGTGTCTGAAACATTCCAGTATGTATCTGCAATAGGATCTCTTACTATGATTGTTCGCAATGCGTATTTGAGGAATCTAATCCTGAATGAAAAACAGAGTGCGGATGGTGTATACCGATCTCATAGAGATGGTAGTGATTTCAAAAATAATGAATTTTTGAGAAAATATCCATTTGCTATTCGAATAGTTATTTATTATGATGACTTGGAAATAACAAACGCTTTAGGATCAAAGGACGTGATTCACAAACTTGGTTGTTTCTACTTCGGCATCCTTAATCTTCCCCCTGAAGAAAGCTCACAACTTGCATCAATATTTCTGCTAGCTTTATGTGCTGCAGAAGATTTACATAAACCACACGCCTATGAAAAAATTTTGACAATATTTCTTGAAGAGTTGAGAAGGCTTCAGTCAGATGAAGGGGTTGAAGTGACATTGGAGAATGGAGAAACATTCATCTTAAGGGCATGTCTTGTCTGTTTGACTGCAGACTCTTTGGCTGCCCATCATATGATGGGCTTCTTATCACCATCAGCTGATAAATTTTGCAGAATTTGTTTAATTTCAAAGACAGAGATCAGTCTTGACACCACTGCAGTAGGTATTCTCCGAACCTCAGATCTTCACAAGCAACATCTCCTTGAAGTAGAGGAAAGCCCAGAAAATGAAACGCTTTATGGAGTGCGATACCGAACTCCTCTCATTGATGTTATGCGCATTCCAGAAGATAGCGTGTTTGATGTCTTCCATGATGCAGTTGGAGTTATTCAAATGACTATAAAATTAGCTCTGTATGAATTCATTTGTGTTCGCAAGCTTTTCTCAGACCGCTTATTCAATTCAAGAATCGAGCAGTTTGTTTATGGAAAATCTGACAAAAAGAACAAACCTTCTGCTAATTTTGAGTATAGGAAGTTGAAAGGTGTGGGACATAAATTAAGACAATATGGTGCTCAAACTTTTTTGTTGTTGCGAGTGTTCCCCTTTCTAATTACTAAGGTTGCAGAAACTGACCCCTATCTTGAGCTAGTGTTTCTACTGCAAGATGCAATGAGGATTATCTTTTCTCCTGAATTACGGGAAAGTGATATAGATAGATTGCAAAACACTCTCACCAACCTCCAACGCCTTTTTCACAGAATATTTATTTCCCCTGAACCAGAAAATGTAGCTCCTGTTCAGAATGACGGAGAGGAAGAGGAACAGGAGGAAGATGGTCAAGATGATCAAGATGATCAAGAAGAGGAAGATGATGAAGTTGATGACAATATTAATGAAAATTTGGAAAATGAAACAGCTCCAAGGAGAAGATGCAAACTAAAAAGTAAGAGACTGAAGAAGGGTATCAACAAATTGCATCATCTTACCCATTATCCTATGCAAATGCGAGAAAAAGGTCCACTCATTCGCCTTTGGTGTGCAAAGTGAGTACTATGTAGACAACAGACTTCTATAATTTGATGTTTCCTAATTGTTATTTTTAATTAATTGTACATATTTTTTGTCTACTTCACAGGTTTGAGGGACGACACAGACTGATCAGGAAACATGCGGCAGTGCAGCATAACTTTAAGAACCCGCCTAAGACAATGGCACGTATGTTTCAGATGAGCACTTTAGCTGCTTTTTTGGATCTTGGTGGCCCTCGCCCTGTGAATATTTCTGCCTCTGAATTGGGTTACAGTCTTGTGGAGCTAAGTCAATACCGCAACGAGCTTGTAGCACAAGGTTTTTTAGATACTGATGTGGTGAGAGTGGTTGAGTCTGTTGAAGTGTATGGTGTTGAATATCAAGCTGGACTTTTTGTTATACTAAATGGAAATGGCGTTGGGGCACATCCTTTGTTCGCTATCATTGAAGACATTGTAGTTGATTCATCTGCAGTACCCAAAATTGTGCTCATTGTCAGTGAATGTAATATAATTTGCTTTAGTGCAAGATACAATTCTTATCAGATAAGCAACAAGTTTGATGGGAGAAAATCGGCTGTGACATTGAAAAGCCTTGCAAATCACAAAGTGTTGTCACCTTGGACTCCCTTTGAGCCTGCTGACCTTGACAAAATCTATCTATCCCCAAGG